ACTTATGAATAAAGATTTTATTTTGACATTTTTTGGGGGGAAGTGCATAAAACCCTTAAGAACTGTTAACTCTTTCAAAGTGCTTCTATTATGTAGGCAATTTTGTCTGATTTATCAGGAGATAAATAAGAGACAATTGTATGCATAATAGTTTTTGTGATTTTCATTCATTTAATGATTGCTTTTAATGTTTCTCATTGATTGTAAATTAAATAAAATCAATTTATCTTTAGACCCTCTTCTAGGATGAGATCTGCCAAAAAGTATTTAAACATCAGTTACATAGTATAAAATTTCGGCCAATTTTATTTGCTAAAATTCTTATACTCTTTAAGAGATAAAGGGAATTCAGACAAGATAATAAAAAAAATATCTTTAAAAAAGGTTGTTATTTTGTCTGTAATAAAGTGTATGTCAACTTACTATTAAATGTATGAGAATTAGGATTGGATTACGGAAAAGCACATGAACACTATCTGCTTAAGGGGATGCAGGCATTCGTGTAAACCTTTCTAAGAGAAAATTGCTCGCATTTACGTTCCTGGTGGAAACCTCCACATGTAATCAACCCATTCTTCGGTTTTGATTGGATTAATTTTGTTGCTTACTGAATTACATCAAAGCACATAACAATTACCTGTATAAGGGGAGGAATGCCTTCACGGAGGACTTTCTAAGGGAAGCTGGCTTTTACATTACACAAAAACCATAAATCCAACCCTTTAGCCGGGATTCAAACCCGAGCGAGCTACGAGTGTTCAGCCACCTTTACCGCTCTACTGATGGGCCCGTAAAAAAATTTATAAAGGAAAAGTATTGAAGTAACCGGTTTAATTTACTAACCTATATTTCTCAATCGACAGTACATAAATTACGCTTATGAGGGGATTATTTGTGAATAAATAAACTGTATTGCACTTTTCTCTACTATTTCGTATACTGGAATTATTGCATTTCAAAGTTATTTCTCATGAATTAATTTTGTTCCGTTCATAATTTTCACCATACTCAGATGACAATATCATGTCCATTAATAAAGTATTTTTTATACTAGGATACCGAAATATTGAAAATAATACATTGCTTCTCATTCTATGCAAAACAGATCATAAATTTTAATCTTGTTTTCAAAATTCAAAGAAAAAATTCAGCATTTGTAATCCTTGTTCATAAAAGCTAAACATGGCTTAGTCAATCAAACAAAAGGGCAGTTGTTATGAGTATATTGTTACGTCATGCCTATCCGTAACTGATGCAAAATTGCTCTGTTTGATATGTTTCTCTGTTGATGGGATAATACTCCCATAATCTTATGACCAGATAAAGGTGATCATGCCAGTTAGGTTAAAAGGAGTAGGGAAGAATTTCACCTGTTTGGTTACTAGGTATAAAATATAAAAGTTCTGGTAAAGCAACGCTGCAATTTTTATATATGTGTTTTTTTTTTTTTTTTTTTTGTAGTAGTACTCCAAGTTACAACAGGTTTTTTTATATAGAATTCCCCCTCTCCTTAAACTTAGTATTAAAATATAAGCTTGTAGAATTTGCCAGCATTGGGAAAAACTTTGCTGAAGTTTTCTAAAGAGAACAATGAAGAAATCTGTTCCTCAAGAGCCACTGTTGCCAAGGGTTGCCAAAGGGAGCAATTAAGTTTATATGCAGCTTAATTTCCTTTTCGAGATTTTCATTGTCAGCTACGTAAGCATGTTTTTTAATCTTTTTATTAATTATTTAAACCGAATAAAATGTAAACTTTGTAGCATTTAATTTTTGTTTTAGCAGTGATGCAGCCTTAATATTGAAAATATTAATTACCATAATAATAAAATGACTTCTAAATTGAGAACAAAATAAGAAAATGTGCAACACTGGTTGAAATATGAGAATTCTCAAGTTTATAATGTTGGTTATTATAGGATGAATTCATGATTCTAAAAATTTAAGATCTTTCATGTTCTATCAGTGTTACTCATGTTTTAGTGAACTGTTATGATAAGAAAATAATAAATTTATAAAGTCATCTTAGTTCATGGTCTTTCTCAATGGTTTTTTATTAATAATGTAACTTTTAAATTTTTATTTACTTTGTTATATTGACATGTAAATGCCATTTGCTTGTGTAAACTATTATGAACATGTACCTATATCTAATCTTTGTATATCTTAACTGATTATTTGTGGTAATGTAATGTTTATAACAGCTTCCTCAAAATATTTATTTTAAAATCTTTAAATTACTTGTTTATCTTTAATAAAATATAAACTTTTAAATAATTCATAATTTCATTCTGATGGTGCTGAAAATATATTTATGTTAGGAAAAATTAAATTAAATATTAAAAAATTAAATATTAAAAAATTTTGTACGTGTGTATCAATAAATATGTATAATTTTTACATCAGCTTTTCTTGCTAATATAGTATTAACTCTTGATTAAAAGAGTAGTACTGGAGATGATGGTTAACTTAAATTCATAATTAACCCAAGGACAGTTAAAAAAACAGCAAAGAGTAAAAACCCATATTATAATTAAAAGAAAATCGTAGTCAAATCCTACTATAGTGAATCCGATTTGTAACGAACTACTAAATATAACAAATGAACATTTTGGTTTCATCCAGTTCCCAATATACTTAATGTTACTATATATGCTGGAGCAAGTTTCCACCATATGCATAAAAATCAGCTGTAATGAACTTGTGGAAATCTTTAACAGATTTTTAGCCCAGAGGAGCGTTTGCCCAGAATGGCTATTAGTCTCGAAAAAGCATTTTGCGCTAAAATCACTCTAAAAGTCTGAATCAGTTTTCAAAATGTTGCCACCAAATATTATTGTAGTGTATTATATTTACAGAAATTAAATAATGAATGTATGTTTTTCACTTTGGGAAAAAATGATGGTGCCTAGAGCCATCAAATGTTGTAAACCATCAAATTACATAATTCTCCACCAGATCATGGATACCTGGAAGCACTAATTTTAAATTTCAAATTTATTTTATGATCTATTTCATATTTTGTAAAACTTGACGAATTTTGTATTAACAAACTCAACGATTTCAAAGCAAGCAATGGCAACCATGGAAAAAAGCATTTTTATCTCCAGCTCGCAAGACGGTCTGTCAGAAATGCTAATCTGCTATATTTAAATATTTTCTAATGTTACTGTTGAATTGAATTTTATCTGATTTCAAAGAACCTGATATTTAATAAATGAAGGTAACACGCAAAACATTTTTAAAATGCCCCTTTGGGGGTAATATAAAATCTGAAAGCTATCAGTTTTATTTTTTAATTTCTGGAACATTTAAATGAAAAATTATTAATCCTTAAAATTTTCTTGTTTAAACTACTAGAATAATGCCCTTTATTTTATTTTTACCAGAATAAATTTGCCTGCTCAGTATGGGGTGATTTAAGCTTTCATGGTGAACATGGTACAGGCTTTTGTCTGATGATGATGATAGAAACACACACAAACACACACATGGGTTTGCACATATATACACACATGAAAGTTTAATTCTCTACTTGATTGTTCCTGAACACAGCATTCCCCTGTTTCTATATAGCATTTGAATAGCTTTACCATATACTATGTATTTATTTATACATCATCTTTTGGTACTTTTCCCTGCATCATATCTTGTAGAATAAAGTTTTAAAGTTGTTAATTCTGCTGTGACCAAATGAAGAAACAGTCTGAATATTTTAGAAAGAGTTCTTCGTTTGTTCTTCACAAAAACTGATATCAAATATTTAGTCTCGTAGCATGTGCCACAAGGATAAGTTTAATAATTGTTTACATTTAATTTTCATTTTCTCTATTTGAGCAATTTTCTATTATTTTTTTAATTAATTGTCTGTCTATTGTACGTATACAAAAAGTTTGAATAAATGAATAAATGGATAATTTGAATGTTTTTTTTTTTTTTTTTTTTTTTTTTTTTTTTTTAACTAAAGACTAAAAAAAATACTTTGCAGTTGTGCTAAATCAAGTTACTGCAGAACCAGTGGGTGGTAAGAAAATTTTACTACGTACAAAGTGGGCAGTATAAAAAAATTGATTGTTCCTGCTCTAAACCAGGACTTTTATGCTAAGTAACATTTTTTATGAAAAAATATTAATGTATGAACCAAAAAAGAATGACAAAAATTAATAATTGCACATAGTAATTGTAATATATGTCTTTAAATTAAAGGTAACTAACTTCTTTTGGGAGATATTATTATGCTAATCATGCTGTACACGAGGAAGTCTTGATGTCCACATCAGATTCTTTGGTTTTGTTATCATATCGGATATAGCAAACTAAACATGCAGTTGTTATAGTAGGGTTTGACTGTAATGGCAATTCACCTGCATTGTTAAGCAATTTAATCTGGAAAACGAACTTATTTAGCTAAAAAATTAAATCTTTTTTACAAAATTAAAAGAGTAAAATGTAAGCAACAGAAGAATAAGCACTATTAGATAAAGAGAAACTAAGTTATTAAGAGCGCTAAAGAAGAGTATTTTCAAGACAACTTAAACAATGTCCTTGAGTTCAGACTATGTAAAAAAGGTGAACTTTTTTTTTTTTTATTGTGCAGTATTTATATATTCCAGATTATATATAGTTAAACTGTGGATAAAAACAATTTCTGAATAATGTATCATCTATCTGTGCTATTAAACAAGGATTTTTTTTTTCCTTCTGTAAATAGACTTTTCATTGATAATTTGTGGCAGTATTTTTTTCATTCTATAATAAACTTTTTTTTAATTCTATTTTTATACTCAGGACCTTATTAATTGGAAGTTGAAAATTTAATTTTTTATCTTTACTGTTGTGTTTATTTTATCTAAATATGTTGTACATAAACTGAATTTTGGTCTCTCGAAGTTATCTGTGATTATTTTTTTATTGGTTCATAAAGAGTAATGTAAGAATAAATATCCGTAGGTTCTTATAATTTCTAAAATAATAATAAACTTTTTTCAGAAGATCTTTTATGTCTAAAGTATATGAAACAAAATATCTACCCATGCTATGTTTGTTGTCAGAGAAATTTATGTGTATGTATGTATATATATTCTGTCAAGTACATCATATTCCATTGACCTTTTTGATAACATACACAATAATAATTGTAATTAAATTTCGCTTATATTTCAATATATTGAATGCATATTTTCTTTTAGCTATGAAAACTAAAAAGTCCTCTTTAATTTGCATAATTATTTGATCTGAATAATTTAAATATGTAGCTTAGATGTTAATTATTTAATCTCATTTTATTAGTTTCAGGTTTTACTTTCTTCTTTAATTAAAAGCCTGTTCTGTTTAAAACTCTTTGTTGAAATACATGCAGATCTGAACAGTATTTTGTAATTATGAGAAAGTAATTATAAATTTTACAAAAGAAACCTCTAAAATTCACTTATTTTATGATATTTATAAGCATTTCAATGTGAAATATATTAAGTGCACATACATGAGAAATTGTTGGTGTTTTTACATTTATTATGAAAGCATTGAAGAGTGGTGGAAGAGTGCATAATTTTATATTTTATTTTGATAAATTTTCACTGTTTGATGTTTTAAAAAATGTATGCTTATGATTAAAAAATAATTAAATGTTAAATTTCTTATGATAAAATGTAATTATATCAAAAGAAAAAAATGGAGCAGAAATAATTGAAGTATTGCTTTTTTACTGCACTATTTTCATGTAATGACAAATTCTTCATGCATGAACTTTAAAATATAAACTGTAGATTTATGTTATGAATTTTTTTTTGTATTTTAAGCAATATAGTAGGTCACGTTCTGCCAGAATAATTTTTTTATTAAATCTAAATGCTTTGCTTAGTTGAAGGTACATATTATGTAGATTATCCACATTTAGTATCATTTCTTCTTATTTAATAATTAATCTGTGTGTCTTCCATAATTGTTCATAATATTATTTTATTGGGAATTTTTGATAGTTTCTTGATTAAGTTACTTTTAATGTATTATTTTCAGGGCTGTTATATGATGTAATGCCATTTTAATTAAATTAGTCTGTAATTTTTTGCATTAATATTTTTTATTGTTTTGAAATTCTTCTTATATAAAGTTTTCCCTTCTTCTAGATTCATCTGCTACTGATTCTTTCCATACTGTGCATGAAACAAGATTTTTCTCATCAGTATCTCTACCATGTCGTTTACAAAAGTGTGAAATTGACCATTTAGGATTTACAGCTGAAAGTGGGGAGTATGCAATCAAATCCTGGACACAAAGAACTAAGTATAGGCAATTTGAAATGCACTGTCCTTCAATTTTTAGTGATAATTATTTGCAAGAACATATTAAATCTGATATAAAAAATAAGAAGTTTTATTGCAATGTATGTGGCATAAATTTCAAGAAGAGGTCAAGTTTGAAGGTTCATGCATTGAAGCACAGATTTACGGATATTTCACCTGCATGGATATTAAATTTTTTTGCTAGAGTAGGAACTTTATGCATGTAATATTTTTATTTCAAAATAATTTTTCAATTTTATGAATAAATGAGTAATTTTTACTAGTCATTTTTTATTGAGCAAGAATAAATTCATAGAGTATTGAAAGTTCAACGTTATTTGTTTATTGATTGGAAGAATGCTTTTATAATTATACAAAATAAAGGTAAATATTTTACTCATTTAAAAAATGCAAAAGAAAATGCTTTTTACATCTTTTCAACTCTGAACTAATTTTGTTATTCAAAATTCTTAAGCTATATTTCATTTCCTTCTGTTGACAATATGCATGACATATTGCATCAAAAGGAGTTGCAATTATAATGCTGTATTTTTTTCCAAATTGCATTGTATTACTTAAGCGTGTTTTGCTGTTTATTAATGTTAATTGTATTCTAGAGATACACTCCTCTGTTTTGGTTATTTTAATTTGCTACATCTGCCTCCAACATGAATAAGTATCATTTTAATTACAGATAATATTTTCAAGTGTAAAAGCATTAAAACGGAGAATTTAAGTATAATTTTTAATACATAATGGAAAATATTTTTGTAAATTTTAAATCAATTTTGCTTTTGCATTTTGTATTTTTATCATCATGCTTGAATGCATTTTTATTTGTGTATGATATGATATACAGATGATTTATTATGACTCAACATCGTAGGATTGACTGCTGTAAGCTTAACAAAGACTTTCTTAGATGGTGACTAATATTTACATCATTTATAGGAAGAAAACTGCTTATGTAGGTGATTCATTTTAACTGAGAATTGGATATCCTGACCCCTAATGTTTTGTATTACTTTTAAAAGTAAATCTATTTTACGTGCTTGTGAGTTAAATATATTGGATGACTCTATTTATCATCCCCATGTATAGTATTTTTTATGGGAACTGTTCATAATGTAAAGCCTAACTCCTATTTTTTTGTTATCCATTGTATGTATCCATATATATACAATACAAATTCCGAGATCCGAACCTTAAAGCCACCAACATTTTTTTTAATGCTTTTTGTATGCACATTTGATTTCCCCCCCCCCTCGTAAGAAAATGTGGAGAATCCCAATTTTTAATTTCACTTGTCACTAAATAAAATACCTCGTTATTGAAGAAACAATCATTTTATCATAAATTTGTGTGATTAATAATTTGGCTCGGTAGCTTGGCATAAATCTCAAACCGAAACAGTCTTTTATATAGAAATATTGTTGATTTCACAACTACTAATATTTTAATCCCTGATGCCAACCTGGCGAATCATTATTTATTATATTTTGCTTTCATCACCGTATGTTTATCAACACATGACAACTTGAGTTATGACTATGCAACAATGACTAAAAATTTTTTTATATTAGTGATTGAATAACAAAGAATATGGAAACCTTTTATGTTGTGACATTCCGCTTGGTGATGATAACAGATTTAAGTTAACTGCTCTAAATATTGACGAGGAAAAATTTAACAAAAATTTCTTTCCATATGCTAAACATAGATTTTGTTAATCATACTCATAGGCCAAAGATTACATTTAGTGCTATTTGAATTAAGGGTAACTAATTTTTTATTCACTTAAACGCAGAACCGGTGCCAGAGCATGTATGGCAGAATTTAGAGAAAACAAAATTTTTGGAATATGGAGAAGCACTGAGTGACAAAATTAAGTGATGGTAAGATTTTTAGAATTTATGGAAAGCACTGGAACCCAAAATTGAGGGGCGGCAAAAATGTAGAACTTAGGGATGTGCTTGGTAACAGAATTTAATGGAACATTTTGTCTTTCGTTGACACTCTCATGCTACATAGCCAATAATGTATAGTGGACGCTGTTAAGCTAGGCTAAAATTATACTTTAAACCAAAGAATTTCAGTTAATAAAGCAGATTGCACTGTTCCATAACTTTCTTATTTGATCCTGCTTATTATTTTTTTAAGGCTGTTATAACTACAGCAATTTTATGAAAAATAAAGTTTGAACTTCCGATTATGTCAAAAAGAGTTTTAAGCTCTGGAGCTGCAACAGAATCTGCAAAGCAAAAGCATGTTTCAGTGTCCATTACATAAAAAGTGGAATTACTGCAAAAATCGGGTATAGGTGTATCCGTCTGAAAATTTTGCGATGAGTATGGCATTGAAAAGTCAACTGTATGTGACATAACAAAAAAAAAAAGGAACTTTATGAATTTTTGTGGATTCTGACACTCCACTCACAATGAATAACAGAAAAATTATTCACTATACTATAAGTGACAATCTTAACAAAATTATGATGGAATGGTCAGACGGAGAACGCGAGAATTTGCCATTGGCGGATTCATTGCTAATGGCTCAAGCCAAAATATTTCATGAAGAAATGAACTTAAAATCTGAGTGCATATATTCCATAGATTGGTTAACCAAATTTTAAAATCACTGTGATAAAATGCAATTAAAAATTTCAGGTGAAATAGCTTCAGCTGATACTGAAGCTGCTTAACTATTTGCAGAGGAATTCATTGAACTCATTAATAGTGAAATATTATCTCCAAGACAAATTTACAATGTTGATGAAACTGGTCTTTTCTGTCAATATGTACTGCAAAATACCTTAGCAACCTCTACAGAAAAGGCTCCCCAACTACTGGCGTCAAAGATTCCGAAGAACGACTAACAATGTTGCAGACTAGCATGCAGGAATGCACAAGTGCAAACTTTTCGTAATCTTAAAAAATACAGGACCTCAACCATTTAAAGCAGTAAAGATTTTCCCATTATATATCATGCAAATAAAAGACCATATATGACACAAGCATTAATGTATTATTGGTTTGAAAATCGTTTCATACCTGAAGCTCGGCAAAATTTGAATTTGGTTAATTTACCTCATGATGTCAAAATTGTCCTGATTGTAGATAACTGTGTGGCTCATATTTCTCTTAAAGTTTTAATAAAAGATAACGTATCCGTGTTATTCTTTCCTCCAAACTGTACGTCCATTATTCAGCCTGTGGATATCGAACAAGTGCATGTACTGAAATGCAAATATAAAGTAGCATTTTTAAATTCCATGTTAAATTTCTTGAATAATGGCAAGACTATTCAAGAATTTTTTAAATATTTTAGCATAAAACCTGGTGGGTGTATAGAGCATGGCAAGATCGTTGGAGGTGCTTTAAAAAATGCGTGGCATAATTTATGGCCAGCTATCATATTTCATGGTGAGGATGATGAAGATGATAGCCACAAATATGACGGCTTTCCGGTGTTGTAAACCACAGGTGAAATTTTCGAATTAATGGATTTTGTAAAGAAATGTTGAGAAGCGGTATTAAATGAAGATGATATAACAGAAGTTTTTCATTGTGATGACAATGCTCTGATCATCAATCAATTAACAGATGGCAAAATCAGTAGTACGGTTCTAGATCTAGAAAGTACCACTACTGATAGTGAAGAAAGTAATAAGAGAGGTTACTGAAAACAAAAAAAAATTCGATTGACAAGTTAGTCTGAATTCTCAACACAACTACAGAACTTGAACAGTGGAACTTTACAACTCAACAAGAAATTATATCTGTGTATAGGATTGAAGAGAAAGTATAAGCACAGAAAATGAAGCTTAAATGATTAATATTCAAAGAAATGTTTAACAAAGTAAACAAATAAATAATAAGCCCTTTTTTTTTTTTTTTTTTTTTTTTTTTAAATTTTGATACCCTTTAGATCATAAATGCTTCATTATTTCAGAAATCACAATTTCATATTTTTAATTTTTATAATTTCTACATGCCATCTTACTAGATTTAAATTGATAATCTAATATCCAGAAAAATCCAAAGTTCCGACTTGTCCAGATCTCAGACTTTATAATGCAATTAGTTTTGTTCAAAACTTATTTTCAAATTTAAAAGTTGATTAAGTATGTGATCTTATATTGGTTAATTCCCTTTAATATATCCCCAAAAAAGGCATCCGTGCCCAACACCGGCCAAGTGGTAAAGTCGTTGAACACTGGTACTTCCAACCTGGGTTCAGTTCCAGGTGAATTGGCTCGCTGCATGGCCGTTTTCATGGTTTTTCCCCTTAAGAGGTCTATAAGGAAGGCATCCCTCCCCCTTGGGCAGATAACCCTAGGTATGGTTTTGTGCTTTAGTAATCCAGTTATTTATTTGCCCTGCAATAGTAACCAAAAAAATTATTTTTCCCATGTTCATGCTGTGTTTATGTGAATTCTATTTCCCAGATGTCGTCATTATGTTTAATCATTTTAATACTATGGTGAAGTGCTGATTCATCTGTAAAGTAGAAAACACATCTGAGGAAATCTTTGATGGTCTGCATAGCTTTAGTTATGTGCAAAATTCTTGATGTAATAGCTTCATATGTAGTTAGTTGCTTTTTATAGTATATTCTTTATTGTTATGTCAATACTGCTAATTTTATAGCTGACCTGTCATACTGATTTTTTTAGGATTATCTGCTAAATCCATTTATTTAATCATCTGACATGGTTTTAATGAACACTTCCTACTAGGCTAGCATCTCATCATTCGAAACTGATAATACTGTCTATTAATATTGTTGTCAGATGGGGAATTCTCACATTCATGCCTGATTACCGACTGAACTAGATTACTTGTTATAATAATACTGTCTATTAATATTGTTGTCAGGTGGAGGAATTCTCACATTCACGCCCGATTGCCGACTGAACTAGATTACTTTTTATAAAACAGCGTGCAGAAAGCATTTTGTCTGGAAGTTGCCATTCTCAATACTATTGTTATCACTTAGGCTAAATAAACAGCTTCATAATTTTACCCATTAAAATGTAAGTTGAGGAAGTGTCCATTTGCTTACATGGTCATATAAACTAGCTATAGTTCTCAATATTCTTCTGTTTATACTTGGTGTATTAATGAATGTGTAATTTTTTTAATTCAGTAAAAAAATTTCTTTTCTCTAAATGTAGGTACCTGATTAATGCGTTAAATTTAAAAGGAACATTGCATACACCATTTATGTTATAAAGCTGAGGATTTTTAATAATTAATAATATTTGATTTTATTGAAATGGCTGAATAAAAAGCTTTGTGTATATGTGTATGCTTGTAGAATAGTCTTAAAAGAGTATAGTAGAATAGTTTAATATAATAGTTGAGAAATGTACTCAGATTTTT